TACAGTCATGCTAATAAAGCTTTGCTCACTCTAATTCTAAGAGAGCAATTCAAAAATAGAGTGAAATAATATTATCTATGTGTGTACACTGTTACATGTTATTCATTTGGCTGAAAAGCACTATATGATATGTCTAAATGGTTGGTTCCAGTGAGAGTATGATTTTAATTGTCTGATGCTTTTTTCACACTGTTTAGGTAGGTTGAGAAATGTACCATTCACAGCTTTTTTTGTTGTTGTTGTTTGAGGCATATCTAGACCTCCAGATTGTTTAAAAACTAAAATAATAAATCAAATCATCCAGCACATGCCAGTGAACACAGTGTTCAGCAATTTAGCAAACACATTCTGAATATCAATAAGACATCAATCATTCTTCACATACAGTATGTTAATTAGCTAAATTTCCATTCTTCCACACTCTGTTGTCATGTCTGTTTTAATTTTAGTATAATGTGCACGTTAAATAATATATGTCCCTTGTATATCTTTTATTACTTTTCTTCTGAATCCAGAACATTTCAAGACCTTTCCAAGCAGACAGAGCTGAGCTACGGAACGGTGAGAGACTCTGCTGTGTTCGAGTATTTCAGGGTGAAGGGCACGAACCCCTTGGAGCAAGACAGCACTTTCGCCGAGCTGTGGAGAACTATCAATAAAAATCAGGGACAGGACAACTCTGTGACCTCTCCTGCTGAAGGCATCCGCAAGGTATCAGACACAGTCCTGTTACTTACAGATGAGGTGGGGAGTGGGGATCAAGAGTCCACATATGTAGCGTAATCAAAGGGTTTTCAAACTTTATGATGCTAAGGACCTTTAAATATCATTGCGTCTGTTTATTTTTTATATATACAGACCCAATATAAATACATTTATAATGTTGCAAAAAAATTATATTTCAAATACATTGTTCTTTGATCATTTGATCAAAGATTTGATAATTTGAAGACTAGAGTAGTGGCTGCTGAAAATTCAGCTTTGCCATCACAGGAATAAACTGCAT